GCTCGATTCGCGGTCGGAAAGAAAAGGAGCCGTCAGTACTATCCAACGTCACAGCATCCGGAAGCCCCCCTGTCCCTGACGTTACCGCCCGAGTAGTCCTCACCACCCACCGCCCAAGCTCCCCTACTACCTCCTATACCGCCCGTGCCTCTCCTCCCACCGCCCGATCAGCCTCTCCCCCCACCACCACCTGTCCTCCACCCACAGCCTAACTATAGCTAGAGCCTCTCCCTACACGTCCACCTCAGGGGGGGAGCTAGGGGGTGCCAGAACCGCCATGGTTTACCTGCTTACGGTGTTCCATTTAGTACGTCTCAGGTGAAGCCGAGACGGGGGGCCGCTAGTGTGTCAATAACTGGAACCACAATCTTTACTACAGGGCCCACCTCGAATTACTCAAACATAATACTATAGTGCTGTGTATAGCTCTACCGACTAAATGACGATCCCGACCAAAAATAACACGATTAATTTTTTCTCACTTACAATAACATTAAAAAATTTTAAACAGGTTACTTTTCTTTCGAAATAAGGCTTGGACTGCACTTGCCGGGATTTTAACTAATCTGGAGCGGCGTAATAATTCACGCTGGGTGATGAATTTTGACATCTGCGAGAGGAGTAGGCTTTTCTACGGCATATTTCCGACATTATTGCCCGTATTTTATACCCCTGAATTAAAATTTTATACATACGTTGCTATTGCGCTATTGGAGTCCAATAATGCATCACCCTTATCCTTGTAATATATTGCAGTGAAAACATGACCTTTTGCTACTAGTTTTTCTCTCCTAGAACAGCCCAAGTGGAACTCGAGTCGCATATACTGTACGTAGGCATGCTATACGAAAACTCTTAATAATTATTTGTAAAAATCACATATTTACATTAAATTTCTTATAAAAGCGTGAAAATTACTAAACGAAATATTTTTCCATGATTTTTGAATCTTATTATTATGAATTTTCACTACAGCAACGATTTTTTTCATCACTTTATCGATTGGGCCGGGACAAGATTTACTTAATTGGTTGGGCCAAGAAAACGGCAGTTAATCGATTAGGTTATGTGCTGATTACGGGAAGTTGGTAATTCCAATCATTTCTAAAGTTCGTTTAGACGAAAGTACACTTAAAAAGAGTATGCTTTCTGGTCCTAACTCAATTTAAAAAAAAATTGAGTTATTCGGTTTGTCCAGGAAGCCAGAGATATATACCCTACTGAAAATATTCAGGAGACTTGTCATGTTACTTGTCAGGTGACATGTCAGGTCAAAAGCCGTGCCAATTTACCATATGGAAGTGTCATGTACAATTGTCATGTGGATTTTTATAAGCTAGATTTTCGGCGATTTAAAAATGAGAAAGTAAAACTTGTACTTCTAACTGCTTAAAATCTGTGAGAATAGCTTATATAAATAGTAAAAAAAAAAAAAAGCATCCAGTAAAGGTATTTAAACCTGGTCCGGATCATTGGTAACCGAGTGTCTTTACCACTTGGCCAGAATGGATTAGACAATTGGGACAGAATTTACGTCCTTATCACGTACATCTAAGATTAATGTTTATTTTATGATTTCGTGAATAACATTTACAGCTTAAGTTATCTAATTGATAATTAACTTTTTGTAAATGTACATTTCATATTGTTTCGTGTCTCTTAATACGTTCATCAACAGTAAATTTAGTAATTGATCTTACAACTACTTTTCGTTCACGGATTTTACTTAAACTTTACATATACTTTTGATTCTAAAGGAAAATAGTCTATTTGTAAAAGTGTAATAAATTTGTTGTTATTGCTACAACAAAGATGTGGATTATCTGTTCCTTTTTAATACTTTAATGTGCGTATCGAATACAAGCAAAAAAAAAATTTTTCACTCATTTGTACAGTACTCAGATAAATTATACAAATTCCTGCAACGTAACCGTATACATCAAAAAAGGTTTTTTCGAAAACTATTAGATTCAAACAAAAATTTGGAAATTGTTATCTTAACTAGAATTGGAAATTGTAAAAAGCATTATCTTAAATACATTTCTGTTGGTATTCGATACGCACATTAAAGTATTAAAAAGGAAAATGTAATACACAACTTTGTTGTAGCATTTATAACAAATTTATAACATTTTTAAAAATAGACTTTTTCCCTTGGAAAGTGAAGTATCTGGAAAGTTTAAGTAAAATCTGTGAACAAAAAGAAGTTGTAAAATCAATTACTAGATATACTGTTGACGAACGTATTAAGAGACACGAAACAATGTAAAATGTACATTTACAAAAAGTTAATTATCAATTAGGTAACTAAGGCGGTAAATGTTATTCACGAAATCATAAAATAAACATTAGTTTTAGATGTATCTGATAAGGACGTAGATTCTGTCCCAAGTGTCTAATCCATTCTGGCCCAGTGGTAAAGACATTCGACTACCAATGATTCGGACCAGGTTTAAATCCCTTTACTGGATGCTTTTTTTTCATATTAATATAAACTATTCTCACAGCTTTTAAGCAGTTAGAAGCACAAGTTTTACTTTTTCACTTTTGAATCGCCGAAAATCTAGCTTATAAAAATCCACATGACACTTTCACATGACAATTCTACATGACACTTCTATATGGTAAATTGGCACGGCTTTTGACCTGACATGTCACCTGACAAGTAACATGACAAGTCACCTGAATATTTTCAGTAGGGTAGTATGATTCAACTAGATGAAAACTTCCCTTAATTAAGGTAAATCCAGACTGGGCAACAATAAATTTCTTTGTTTAGGTCTTAATCTTAACAATAAATGTAACTAAATGGGGACCGTAAAAAATGGTAGTAAGTGGTCCAAAAAAAGATGCGTAATTTTAAGACGAACAAAATGAGCCATGGTGAGCCTAAATTGGCCTTGCCGTTTTTCCGAAAATTTCCAATAATAGCCAATTTTGCCCTGTTTTTCCATAGTTCTTACTCTACAAAATTCTAAGACGGTCAGATGCAAACTTTTTACAAATCGTCAAATAAACCAAAAAAAGGTCCTTCCAAAAAACGGATCTAAAAAAGTTGTTAAACCACATAAAGCTATTTTCAAAAATTTCTTCTCTACATCAGCTATACATCTACTTAGTCAAAAATTTATAGCTATTAATATGCCTATAAATTATAACTATAATTATAGCTATATTTACCTATAAAACAGCTATAATAATGTATAAAATTCAGCTATAAATATAGCTATAAACTACAGCTGTAAATTTTTCACAAATAATGAATAAAAATTAGTTTAAAATCAGATTTTTTCAACATATATCGATCAGTACAGATGGTATCATCCGTATGATAACAATAAAACTGGGAGCCTGAAGTATTTTTGAATAAGTAGAAAAAAAAACAAGAAATCATATACAATTTCAAGTTTTTTAAAAATTGTTTTAAAATACTTTAGGCCCTCAGTTTTACTGTTATCACACGGATGATACCCGTCTATGCTGAGCGATATATGTTTAAAAAATCTGAATTCAAACTAATTTTTATTCAAAATTTGTGAAAAGATTACAGCTGTAATTTATAGTTATATTTATAGCTGAATTTTATACATTATTATAGCTGTTTTATAGGTAGTTATAGCTATAATTATAGCTATAATTTATAGGTATAATTATAGCTATAAATTTTTAACTGAGTAACACTGGTTACAATTTCGTATCCTTAACTTTTTTACATGTATTCTTCAAACGTATTGCAAAATAGTGCTGTTACCGCGTTTTTGAGCAAGTTGCATCAAACTGACGCGATCGGCAGTTACCGAAATCTCCTAGTCTAAACATTGTAAACTAACAATTATTTTTTTAATACAGGATAACTCGCCATAGTATTGAAATTACACGTGGCAACACCATTTTAATGATAAACATAGCTGCTGCAAATATAATATAACACTAATTGTACTCTGGAGCTTTGCTCTTCTTTTCGTTTGAAGCCCTTGCGTAATTACATCTTCTAAATCATACCAGATGATGTTGCTAATAAATAATGAACTACAATAATTTATAGCGAATGTACCATTAAAAAATTTGTTCATAACATGCAAGTAATTTGCGAAAAAAAACACTATTGCGACGTTTTTAGAATACTTACAAAAGCTAGGATACAAAAATTCAACTAATATTAGATAGACAACTTTACTGATGTAGAGAAAACATTTTGAACAATGGCTTCATATGGTCTAACTCCTTTTATAGAGCCATTTTTTGGGGGGACCTTGTTTGACAGTGTGCAAAAAGTTTGCGTCTGATCGTCTTGAAATTTCGTGAGGTTATTAGAAATTACAAAATCCGCGTTCTATTAAAATTTGAAGTGAAAATGTTGATTAGAACGATAGTTGCAAAGTATAAAAAAACAGAGCATAATTAGCACTTATGGCAATTTGCGGAAAAACGGCAAGACCGAATTAGGCCCACCACAGCTCATTTTGTTTGTCTTCCAATTGCCCATCTTTTTTTTGCAGAGCACTTTATGGTCCAGATTACGGCTTTTTCGATAGAAACCAAATTTTTTTTCAGACATTTTCATTATTTTTTTGTTTTAAACCACTTACTACCATTTTTTTTGGACCTTATGTAGTAACGCTTGTTGTCGGGCTTAAGATCGACACAACGAAATTTTTTGGTGCCAAGCCTGAATTTATGAGCCGACAATATAGTTTGTTCACACTAATATGGCAATAAATTTTTCAAAATTCAGAAGACTTGACAGCATATCACGTGATATTAATTTAAGTGAAAGCTTGATGATTACATTAAGAAAATGTCCAACTACTCATTTACTCATCGAAAATATGAATAATAAATGTGTATGTGTGTGTGTTCAATACAGTTTGCTCTAGCGAGTAAAAGTGTTCGTTAACCGAATAAAGCTGCATATAAGTTCTCTGTTAACGGTAAAATATTTCAATCTACAAACTTTAGTTATTTAAGGTATTACTTAGTCAACGATTTGATACAAATACCTTGTGTCTATCACGTCGATGAGGCTGTGCATTGAAAGGCAATCCAGATGGAGGTGGTGGCTGTGTAATTTCCATCAAAATTGGTGGAATATATATTGGATATGGAGGAATGGGCACACTTTTTCCCCACCCTAATTTCATTTCATATGACATAATATCTCGACCTGTAATATTAAACTTTTTTTGGTACTTTTTGAAAAATATTATAGAAAGTTTATAAGAAAGTTTTAAGATACCATTGAGATTTTTTAAGGCTCTTTCACCATCTCTTCTACTCATAAATGCAACAAAACCACAATTTCTTTGTCTTGCTTTTTCTTCATCACTTCTAGGCCACATAATTTTTATACTAGCTAATGGTCCAAACCTTCCAAAAATTTCCATGAGTTGTTGTTCAGTGATCTAATATACAAACAATTAGAAAAGAAATATTGACTTCTAAATTTTGCTATAAATCAAAATATAATTTTTTTTTAAATGGTAACGATATCACCTTAGGATTTAAATTTCCAAGATACAAATTAGTAGTGTTTGGATCTCCATTATCAAACGATCCATCTGAAATACAAAAATCTAAAGTATAAGTATAAAAATATATAAGTAAGGCTACTATTTAATTTATACAGAAGTACTTCAATTGCATGTCAAATGTCAGCTAGATTTATATGTAACTTGTTCATTGTTCAACATAATACTGTGCAATAGCTGATTCATGTATCGTGAAAATATTAAAAGAAAAATAAAAAAATAGTGTAAGCATATAAGAAAAAATTAAGTCAATATAAAGAAAAAATCAAGTATATGGGGAGCATGACCTTCAGCTGATTTAATAGCCATCAACATAGCATCATCGGTTTGTGTTGTTACAGGCTTAACACTTCCTCCTTTATGCTTATGTCTTTCTTCTCTTTCTTCTTGAATCATTTTCAACTCCTCCTTGAACAACTCAAGATTGCTTTTTCTCTTTTCTGCCTCTTTCTTTTTTTTGCCAAGCCTCTCCAACTTCCTTTCGTGAGAGCCAAGGAGTCTGACATAATCTTGCTCCTGAGTTGCGTTATGGTCTGAGATTTTTGGCTGTGGTTTGTAAAGCTTTCCCTTATCTTTAGTGTCTTCTTCTAAAAAAAAAAGGTAAAATAGAAGGCTGGAAGGCAGGGGAAAGTAACTATTTGCAACACCTACGGCGTTTGCCGGCATCATAGGTACCAGCCTTAACCCAAACTTTGCTGGCATTTTTGTTGGAGCTGTCCTGAAAGGTTGCAACAAATTCCTCAAAAGCCTGAGCAGCAGCTTGTTCCTGCTCTTTTTTGCGCTGCTCTTCAATCTCTTTTTTGCTCATGGGCCTTTTACCCATAGTACCAATGGAGAAAGCTTTGAGCTTTTGTTCAGTGATTTGCTGAGATCAAGTATAATTATAAGTAGAGGTCAAAGTTAACCTTACGATAAACAGGTTCAATGTGTACATTTAAAGTATATTAATAGCAGAAATGAATACCTTCATAAGTTCCCTGTCCGTCATTGCAGTGTTTAATGGATAGAGTAAATATTCAACTTCTACATCAGCACTTCAATTTGACTTTAATAACATACACTAAAAAAATTCTGAAAGCAACATTAAAGTTTTACAAATTTTAGTCTGTAAGTTACCGTATTCAGAGAATACTAGTCTGTATAGATATACATGGCCAGATCGGAGATCAGTGTCTTTTTCGTGTTAGACCAAGAGCTGAGGCCCAAAAATGGTCTAAAACATAAACCAGCCGATAGTCCCACCGTAAGAAAAAACGTAAGATTTGTAAAAATTTATAATATTTTGGTCATATTTCATGTAAGTGGTGAGTTATGTTATAATTAAAGTAGTGCTACATGATCGATTTTATAACCCAGAAAAAAAAATTACAAGCTTTTATTATTAGTTGTGTACTTGTAAACGTAATTTATGTTTAATGATTGATATAAAAATGGATAAGTCGTATGAAAAATGTTTGTACAGTAAAAAAATATATATGATGGGTAAAAGAAAATGCGAAATTAATCAAACAAGCACTAGGATAAGTTATAAATCATTGTATCTATTGGAATGGTGGTCGTAAAGAACGATTAAAAAAAACTATGCCAAGATAAACAGCTTGAAAAAATGGAATAAATATTTAGAATACCAAAAGTATTATGTGTAATACTAAACTAAATTTTTTTAAATAAACATGTTCATAAGTATAAGCTGTTTATTTATGTCACATTAATCTTCTTTTCACATTATCTACATAATTACAGTAAGATACCAGCTATTTTTTTCATTATTGTTTATATACCTATGGCTCTTATTTTCACAAAAGATTATGTTTCATCCTTACACGGGCCAGACAGAGATATATAATATCATTATTAGTTAGAGCAATGATGCGTAATTATAGCATCAGCAAAATAACCGGATGACACTTGGTAACATTGCAGCAGAAGCGATTTCCAACCTTTCGTCCTTTTAAACTAATGCTCCCCATTGATCGAGAACCGAGATAAGTATGGGGCAATAAAAAAAAAAATTTTTTTTTGTCAAAATTAAAAAAAAATAACTCCTTGTTTCAAATCAGCCGCTACGCTTCGGCTGGAAATAATTGTGTAATATACGTTAGGTGTAACCTTTCTGTTAACTGTAGTTGCGTTCGGTTAACAAGCAAAAAAGAAAATTTATTTTCATTGCCCCATATCTCGGTTCTCGATCAATGGGGAGCATTAGTTCAAATGGACGAAAAATTAGAAATCGCTTCTGCTGCAATATTACCAAGTGTCACCTGGTTATTTTGCTAAAGCTATAATTACGCATCATTGCTCTCTACCTCAATTTCTGGAGCTATTCACATAGACATTTTTTGCTTATTTCATTGTGAACGTTCATATTGAAAAGGGGGTTCCACTGTTCCGCTAAACTCAAATTGAGTGAACAGACTGAGCAGACCTATACTGTGTTCTCTGTCAGTCAACATAGTTGCGACCATAGGCTTTGTTGCCTGATGGAAAAAGAGGTATAGGTCTGTTCAGTCTGTTCACTCACTTTGAGTTTAGCGGAACTGTGGAACCCCCTTTTCAATATGAACGTTCACAATGAAATAAGCAAAAAATGTCTATGTGAATAGCTCCTCTACTCGGGACTCGGGACCAGCGATTGGTAGGAAGATTGCTGAATGCTGACTGCCATGCTACGGAGTGTGCCCACTTTTTTCCAGTGATTCGAGCGCCCCACCGAGGCCAAGCTGCCGAACCAGGCGCACATTTTTTTTTATTTGCGATTGCGAAGCACGGTAGTTGGCAGCATTGCGAGTTCTGCAGTCAACTTCTCGTAAGGACTCGGAGTCGTAAGTCGTAAAGTACACATCCGCGATCCGCCGGCATTAGTTCGCCTAAATCCGTTGTTCCTCCTGAGACTTCTGGAAGCGTGTAGAGGGTACCCTGTCCAGTTCCACTCAAGTGTAAACTGTGTGAAAGCTCGTTCGGTAAATGAGCAGGGCATACAACATATATATTTCTAGTAGAAACAGCCTATACGCCCAAATCCACAAAACCCAAGAACTTTAACCTAATAACCCAGTGCGTTTGTGGATCAATCCACAGTAGCTCAATACGCTTTACTACTAACTATAAATTCAGCAATGTCTCAAGAGGCTATTCCCCAACAACCCAATATGCTCCAGTATCTGCAATAATATTTAATTAATTAATTAATTCATACTCACGATTAACAGATGAATTAATATCCCAAGCTCTTTATCCCGAATAACCCAGTACGCTGTACATTAGTACTGTTTATTAGTTGATTAATTAAACAGCAGCGAGCTAATACTTTCGACAATTTCTTTAAGAAATAAATAAATAAATAAAATTCTAAGTACTTAATCCCCGAAAACCCTGTACGCTCTGCTGACTATAGTATTTGATAATTTATTAATCAACTAATAAACCGTCAGTGTGCTACGAATAAACCCTATACGATCTATGGATAGTAGAGCGAATATATAAAGTTAATAGAGATTAAACGCTTGGAATTTTATTTATTTATTGATCAAAAAGTGGTTAAGAGTAGTAAGCTCACCGGCAAATTTTTATTTAATTAATAACTGATTCAAGAGCACAGACATTCAAGTGTACAGTCATTGGGTAATAAGCGATTTAGATATAACACAGCTCCACAAAAAAAATGAAAAAATTACCCATGAGACCTGATCTATGTAACTTTATGTAATCGACCACGCTGAAACCGATTCTGACATCTAAATTGACCTATCACGTCCAGTTTTCTTTCTAACCTCAAAAAACGAGCCAAAAATGACAAATCTTTCCCAAAAAAAATGAAAAAAATGACCTATGATCCCTGAGCTCTGTAACTATATGTAATCGACCACGCTAAAACCGAATCTGACAGTCCAGTTAACCAATTACGTACAGCCTTTTTCTTACCTTAGAAGCGGAGCCAAAAATGATAAATCTTCCAAAAAATAAAAAATAAAAAGTCAGTCATGAGACTGAACTGGGAAAGTCATGCAAAAATAACAATCCTCCCGTGAAATTGGCTGATTCCATATAACAGGTGATGTGTATTTCAAGTGCGATCGATCTTTATTGTTATGACATGTCATCAACATCTTATGACATGTTCCGCAGATAGTATGCGGTACCCAATTTGCTGTCTGATTTTCTATTTCTGAATTGTAACAGTATCTGTATGCATCAATTACAAGCTGATTTATTTTTCTACGATTTTTTGTTGGTTGATATTTACCACAAACGTAGCAGAAAGTATCAGGCTTAGGTGGATGATCATGGATGTGTAGGCTCAAACATCTTTTAGTTGTCTTACGTCTCGTCGTTTTAGACTTTGCAGAGGCTGAGGTACCCACCTCTACAAAGCTGCGGTTGCATGATGACGACGCCTGCGGGCCCGCTTTCCCACCCTGACCAGCCGCCGATACTGGGGATCCGACCCCCTGCATCGTAAAGATTTTTTGTTTGCCTGCCATGACGGCATCTAAGCCGTTATCCAGGGACTTCGCCGAATAGCGGTACAACTTCGTTGCCCGCCGTCACCACGAGGAGGTGCCCTGGATGCAGGCAAACAAAAAAAAATTTGTATTCCGGGATCTTGTTATTTTCGGCACATTCATTAAATTTATAGATAAGTTGACGCAATAAGTTGATTCACATGTCATATACAGTTCCAGTGTAGTCGATTTGACATAGTCGTATTCATTAGGTCTTTTAGCTGAATTCAATTTTTTTTTGTAAGTTTTGTTATTTTTTGCCCATTTTTTAATGTTAGACAAAAGACTGGGAATGATAGGTTAATGGGAATGTCAGATTCGGTTTCAGCATGATCAAGTACAAACATTTTTTCAGTTCAGGTTTCATGACTGGTATTTTTAGAAGATTTGTCATTTTGTGCTCCGTTTCAAAGGTTAGAAAAAAGCTGGGAGTAATAAGTCAACTTGAATGTCAGATTCGGTTTCAGCGTGGTCGATTACATATAGTTATAGAGCTCAGGGATCATAGGTCATTTTTTTCATTTTTTTTGGGAAGATTTGTCATTTTTGGCTCGTTTTTTGAGGTTAGAAAAAAAACTGGACGTGATAGGTCAATTTGGATGTCAGAATCGGTTTCAGCGTGGTCGATTACATGTAGTTACAGAGCTCAGGGCTCATGGGTCATTTTTTTCTTTTTTTTGGGAAAGATTTGTCATTTTTGGCTCGTTTTTTGAGGTTAGAAAGAAAACTGGACGTGATAGGTCAATTTGGATGTCAGAATCGGTTTCAGCGTGGTCGATTACATAAAGTTACATAGATCAGGTCTCATGGGTAATTTTTTCATTTTTTTTGTGGAGCTGTGTTATATCTAAATCGCTTATTACCCAATGACTGTACACTTGAATGTCTGTGCTCTTGAATCAGTTATTAATTAAATAAAAATTTGCCGGTGAGCTTACTACTCTTAACCACTTTTTGATCAATAAATAAATAAAATTCCAAGCGTTTAATCTCTATTAACTTTATATATTCGCTCTACTATCCATAGATCGTATAGGGTTTATTCGTAGCACACTGACGGTTTATTAGTTGATTAATAAATTATCAAATACTATAGTCAGCAGAGCGTACAGGGTTTTCGGGGATTAAGTACTTAGAATTTTATTTATTTATTTATTTCTTAAAGAAATTGTCGAAAGTATTAGCTCGCTGCTGTTTAATTAATCAACTAATAAACAGTACTAATGTACAGCGTACTGGGTTATTCGGGATAAAGAGCTTGGGATATTAATTCATCTGTTAATCGTGAGTATGAATTAATTAATTAATTAAATATTATTGCAGATACTGGAGCATATTGGGTTGTTGGGGAATAGCCTCTTGAGACATTGCTAAATTTATAGTTAGTAGTAAAGCGTATTGAGCTACTGTGGATTGATCCACAAACGCACTGGGTTATTAGGTTAAAGTTCTTGGGTTTTGTGGATTTGGGCGTATAGGCTGTTTCTACTAGAAATATGTATGTTGAATGCCCTGCTCATTTACCGAACGAGCCTTCACACTTGAGTGGAACTGGACAGGGTAGCCCCTCCACGCTTAGGAGAAACAACGGATTTAGGCGAACTACAGTAATGCCCACCCGCCATAAAGTTTTATAAGTATTATTGTTAGTAATCATTTTTTATTCTTTTTTTTTTTTTTTGTCATGAATGTCATTAGAGAAACATCAAAAAAAAAGTAGTATCTAGCAACAACTTTTATGATTAATGATTACTATTCAATACTTGACTTTAGATTTTGAAGAAACTTATAGCTATTAATAATCCTTAATAATAGATTGTATTGATTGTTTTACATTTTACATCAGATAGAAAAAAATATTAATCTTTATGGGCACGGTTGTACCGTTCGATCTTGAGAACAAAAAAAAAACTAATCATAAGTATTTAAAAGTTTTAATAACAACTTGTGACAGACAATTGTGAATAATAAATCTTATTATTTATCTCAAATCTAGACTTTAAAAACTGTTATTCTTTTTTCATATTTTCTACTGATTTTTAAAAATTATTATTACCAACTTATCTAACAAAACTATTTTCGCTGGGGATTTTCCTATTATAGTACCTGGTAGAAAATTTAACTTAAATAAAATCTGTAACTTGATAACAGGTAATTCGTTTTACCAACCAGTTTAATACAAAATAGCTGTACATCTGTTATGAATTCAGAGATGCTACACCTCATTTTTTTAATGTAATCATGCATTTGGAATTAGAAATGAAATCTGGATAAGTTCTTGTAGCACAATACTGCTTGCATTTTATTTGCTATAGTAAAATCTATTTATAATTGAAGTCATAAATTAAAATGATCCACAATAAAATTCACTAGAGCTGTTACACAATGCATTGAAGTAGATAATTAAAAAATAAATGAACATTCCCATCAAATGTATATTTTTAACAATGTACTGATAGATTAGTTTGTATAAGTGACTTAGAATTACAACTCCTTTGATTCACACGGTTGATTTTAATCTGGTAAATAAATTGTACACAACATTTACCTTTTATTACTACAGCATACATTTCATTAATTAGAATAATCATTTTTTGCTGCAATGTAAGGAAACGAAAGAAGAATAGTATAAAATAAAATTTATGAGCGTTTTTTGTAGACCAAAACATAAGCTGACAGTCAAGTTAACCCATTACGTCCAGCCTTTTTCTCACCTTAGAAGCGGAGCCAAAAATGACAAATCTTCCAGCGCTCTCAAACAGCGTTGTGTTGCGTTACCTTTGAAAAAAAATTTTAAAAAATAATTCCGTGTTTCAAATCAGCCCGTACGTTTCGGCTGGCAAAAATTGTGTGATGTACGTTAGGTGTAACCTTTCTGTTAACNTAAAATAAAATTTATGAGCGTTTTTTGTAGACCAATTTATTAGAAATTTATGTTATTAATAATAATCATGGTCACGATAGTATTATAAGTATGGGATCATTAATTGTGATCACTAATAATTAGCATAATTATTAATAAAGTTGTTTGTGTATAAAATACAACATTAATAGTAATAACTGCAGACCTTCAAGCCAGAGTAAATTAGAGAATGACATAGTGACTGCTGATCTTGTATACAAGATACGCTTCCACAGGGCTAGAATAGTTCACCATCAGTCTTCACTGACTTAAAGTTTGCAGAAATTCGTACAGCGTTTTGTTAGCTTCGAGGGTTAACTGATGAGTTGTTGACCAACTGGAGTGGTGCCATTTGAGTATGTGAGTATGAAGATAAGGAAGGCGGGCCAACTGCATTGTTCTGACGAGGATTTGTGTTATGAAGGGTTTGAATGTAAGAGCGCTGAACAGGCTTATGCAGTGCAAGTTGTAATAGGGCTTCAGATATAGAGAACCACTTGCGCTTACGACCAATTGAGCGAGAGTCTTCCCATTCTTGTAACTCTTCCGTGACCCGCATTACCCACACATGAGTCCGGTGTTTGTGTTCATGGCTCTATATGTAGGGGTAAAATAGTTGTTACAAAAAAACTTCAGCAAATAAAAAATTAAACTTTGTGATTCTGACAGCAACCAAGTACATTTGTATCATGTACACTACCTATACAAATTATAAACTACCTCAAAAATACCAAGGCACCTGCCCAACTGGCCTAGTACACCAGCCTCCTCACGAACTTCTCTAAGAGCTGTGACAGCAGGCTCTTCTTCAGGCTCGACACCACCACCTGGAACGATCCAACTGTCAGGTTTACGGCTCGACGTGACCAACAGCACCTGCAAGTGACCAGTAAAGACAAAAATATCATAAAAAAAACTATAGAAAAAAAGGATTACTCAATACTTTAGCGTATATTTGTGTATTGGGCTATGCATGGGACATTTGCACCAGTCTATCATAAAATTTTTCTTCATACAACACAGGCCGATTAAGTCGACTGAAAAATTATGTATTTTGATGTACCTCTTCTTCGAGATCATTTTTCACGCAGATACAAGCAGCCCTACGTCGGTAGCCCTCGGAATCATAGATGCGTATCGAGTTGGGTTTCTCTTTGACCATGGTTCAGCAGAGAACGTAGGCTCGTCGACATTAGTGATACAGCATGGTACATCAATAAAGATATTCGTCAGACCAACGGACGTTGAATAGATTGATAAAAGACGATGAGGGTGCGTGCAAAAGCTTGCTGATACCACACACAATGTGGGTTGACAATGATGGCAGACATGGCGCTTTGCAGACGTGACAGACTATGACGTGTACCCTCCAGGAGTCTACTCAACCACTTCAGTACGACCCGCAGAAGTTAACCTTATTAGAAATATTGACTTAAATGCTCCTTCAAACTTCCTTTCCAAACCGCACGTTTGATTTTCTTCAACAAAAATCGAGTGCTGGACTTATGAAGAAAGATTAGCAGCAAGATTGTCCGTACAACTTTATCAGTATAGATTACCATAACCACTAAACAGCTGCTCTCCCAATTTTCCGCACAATAACTTACAGCCATGAGATTCAGAGTGGTATGCAACTGCTGCAATGTTGGCTATAATATATAATGCATATACATCAAACAGTTAATAAATAGTATACACATGTTATGGTAGAGTAGTGAGCTTCAAGGGACTACAGAGCAGCAGAACGCGGGACAGTAGCTGATTGGCTGTCACGACCCGTAAGATTAACAACACAGGATTCCACTTTAGTTCGAGCAATGATCCAATGATGCATAATTATTCGCTACGTGCACAAGCTGAAAAAGCGATCGCAGCAATACCTGTGCTAATATGTGGAACTAAACGATATGTTTGTCTTCTGCTAGCAGACTACTAAGCATTATTATCATCGGAAAGTTGTGTTTATACATCGACAACCATTCTGAGGGTTAAATTTTTAACAAAATTATGAGTAGTATGTACATATTTTACTCATGCATGTTCATTTTAAAAACTCAATGAAATACATCGTATACTGTGTATTTCTTAGAGTTTTTAGCTGGGGCCTGATCCTCTAAGCGTATCGTATATGAGCGTGTGTACACTGTACATACTGTGTGAACTGTGAACACGCCGGTATAGGGCTAATGGAGCTCTCTAATTAGTCAGAGGAGGTCTGTGTTAACTACATTGCAAACAAATGAAACGTATCACGTATCACACAGTACACGGACTTGTGTTGAAGTAATACTCGAGCGCTTATGCCTTATACCCTAGTGCTTGTACTGCTTGTAGTACAAATTTTGTCCTTAGTTATTCACGTAGGATTGTACCACTTAAGACATTGTATTAATTCGTGGTATAATGAACACAGAACCTTTCGTGTATCTATCGAGGTGCTGTGTTCCTATAGGTATCATGCTCATATCGCGAATTGGATCGCATATTGAAAATATTGGAAAATTGCCTTCTGCTGTGCCCGACCAATAATTCTCGTTTTTCCCTCGGTGGCGCTGCTTCAAAATAGTGCACGTAGCGAATAGCATCAGCAAAATAACCGGATGACACTTGGTAACATTGCAGTAGAAGCGATTTCCAACCTTTCGTCCATTTGAACTAATGCTCCCTATTGATCGAGAACCGAGATACGGTGCGATAAAAAAAATATTTTTTTGTTGTCAAAATTAAAAAAAAAAAAAATTCCTTGTTTTAAATCAGCCGTTACGCTTCGGCTGGCAATAAGTGTATGATATACGTTAGGTATAACCTTTCTGTTAACCGTTGTTTGGTTCGGTTAACAAGCAAAAAATTTTTTTCATCGCCCTATATCTCGGTTCTCGATGAATTGGGAGCATTAGTTCAAATGGACGAAAGGTTGGAAATTGCTTCTGCTGCTATGTTACCAAGTGTCATTCGGTTATTTTTCTGATGATATAATAACGCATCATTGCTCTAAGTACTTGTTGTGTGCCCTCGCTAAGATCGCCAGAATGCATGCAACCTTAGAGGAAAACTTTTTAATAAATTTAATAAGAGTTATTAGAAGTGGATTGACAAAATGAATCAGTAATTCGAGTGTCTATTGTCTTAGAGTACTGTTAGGAATCGATTCCTTTTCCAGTATTTCCAATACAAAAAACAAAATTGGTAATAAAGATTTCTGATACTTCTGGAAGTGTGGGAAGCAAATTTCATATGTTTCAGGACAAACCGGATCTGACCTACCGCAAACTTCAAGACTCAATTAATCGACCTGTTCCATCCTGTTCAAGCTCGCCTCCAGAATACTAACGAATTGGCCTTTGACGAGCCAGAACACGTCCAAACCCGTACCGGATTTTCGGAAGGAGATGCCAAGGTCAAAGCCTACGTGACTTTCTGCACGTCTTTCGGCCTATAAAAGGAGCTGGAAAACTCCCCTTCAGTCTAGTCTACTTCCGACAGTTACCTACGGTGAGGTGATCCACGAGAATAAAAGTGTTCAAGATGCCCTCCTATAAAACCCTAAGGCGAGTACCTCGGTGTTACTGTGAATTAACAGTGTCAGTCAAGTGAATAATCGTGATCGTGGTCCTGTGGAGAGTTTCACCAGGTACCTAGACATCATGTTCGAGAAGAAAATACATAGACATCACCTTCAAGAATAAGCTGCCCGGGACTTAAATCTACAGCAAGGAAGTAGTGAGGCAGACCTCGTGCATCAGCACCTAACCAAGGAACGGACCGATCGCCCAAGGCCAGCCAAAGATTGGAGCGCGCCATCTACCCTTTCTTGCTCCGTGCCCGAGGCTCAGTCCGCTCAGATCATAACAGTACAGTAATAACCCGAAAAGAAATTGAGTTCAGGCACTGAACAGGTTCTGGACAGGTGCCTGAGCTGCCTGCGCAGGACCTGCTCAGGTATTAATGGAATTTTATCCAACGATGTGCACAGGACCTGCTCAGGCTTCTGCACAGGCAGCCTTAGCTCAGGCAACCTGGACAAATATAATCTAGTCCTGAACTGACTTTTACACAATTAAATAGTAAGGTTATGTTACATAAAAAAAATGTTTTCTAACAGAGAAGTTGATTTCAGTAAAGTTTTATGGGATACAGATAAGCTGGGAATGTGATATTTCAATATTTTTAAAAGTTTATCCATGTGGCTATTTGCAATAAAACACTCTCTTTTCCATTTCCGAAGTTGTACATACAAATCACGAACTTTATCAATATTGACACTTGTTTGTTTTTTTTTCTTACACTGTCATTAGTTGTGTTTAATTCTTCAAAAATTTCTTGCTGAATTTCGCTCTAAATTTCTTGCTTATTAAACTGTACAGCTGAGTTTTTACTAATATTTTCTGTAAGTTTAGCTTTTTTTTCATTATTTCCATTAAATCTGTATGGTTTTCTTTTTTCCAAAATTATTCTTTTACGAATAAGTTACATTCTATATTTATTTATCGTCTTTCGTCGAGAATAATGATTTTGCTCCAATTTAGATTAATTGAAAAAAAGGTTAAGACTATATACTGTAGTAGCAGACAGTTGATGTCAGTTCAGGCAAGAGCACGGGACCTGTTCAGGAACTGTGCACAACCTGACCTCACATATGCATAAAATGCCTATCTTGCCTGTGCTGGACCTACACAGGTAGTCAGGCAAGCTACGGCACATTTCTATTCGGGAAGTTTTGTTTGGTGTTTAGACCAACCGAGAAACTTCTGAATTAGAAAGTTGTTGGAGAAGAAGGCGTTTTTGATATTTTATGTAATTTGACCTGCTGATTACGATAAAAATAAATAAAAAATTTTTCGAGTGGTGGATCAATGTTAAAATCGCATTTGAAATTTTATTTCGCTCATATCTCAGTAACGGTAAGAGCTATAGTAAAAATATCAATAACAGCGTATAGAGCGGAAAATTTCCTATCGATTTGGTTTATTTGAATTACTTAGACAAGCACAAAATTTCGAGAAAAAAAATTGTAAAGAAGATTTTGTACATAACGACCGAGTCCTGCACCCAGCAGTGTCCCCCACTATTCCACCGACAGTAGCAGCGAAGAAGAGAGAGAACCAGAGATAATGTGAGTATTTGTAAGTGTGGCTGCTGCACATGTGCACACACGCGGCAATATATATACGGCTTATCCAAAGGTGAAAGAAGCACCAACTCACTCAATCCACTGAAATATCGTTTGAAGCTTCTTGTATGCCTATACAGATTTTTTAGACGACCGGCTCACACGTTTTTAAAGTAGCCACAAAAAATTTATAATGGAAACTGTTTTTTCCTTTATATATGGATTTTTTTCACGATTTTGATAATTTCCTGTCGATTGAGCATAAGCTTAGTATGAAATTTTTTTTAATGAAAATCCGTTTTTTTCATCATTTACTATTTTTATTGACTACATATTATTTTGAAAATTGTACATAAGATAAAGTTTGAATGGACAAAAGTATCTTTTGATGAAATAAACTCATGAAAAGTAACTGAAAATCAAAATAATTTTAAACAGGTAAAACTGGAATATTTATGTAGAATTTTAAAAGATGCACAGCTTGATGTATTTCGGAATTTTGAATACTCTATGCTCAACATTATATAAAAATGCAACGATACAATAAATTATAACGCGTACAAGAACTATTATTTTGTTTTTCAAAAATCAAAACTTGAGATTTCAGCATGATCCAGTTTAATTTGTATATATTTATGGAACCATTATGAATAAACACTACTTTTTCCCTTGTACTGCTCTGTAAATAATCTCTGCTCGTCGTTGGCTGGCTGCACGGGTGCGATTTTGAAACCGGCAAGACTCGATGCTTTTAAATATCCTGTAGAGAAAAAAAAGATTTTTACTCGTCCGTATTATTCTGTAGAATTGTAAATTTTCGGTTAAGAAAATAGAAAAACGTTTCAACGAATGCTAAAATATTGATTATTTATACATAAGTGTACTGGCTAATAAACTACAATTCTTAATTATTTCTAAAGACAAAGAGTAGAAACTAGATCAAAAAAAGAAAAGTCACCATGTGCATAATGGTGCAATGCAGTATAGTACAGAAAAGTCGGTCAGCCCAATCGTTAAGAAAGTGTTGAGACAGACATCACCCTCGTCGCGTAGATTGTGATGGTGGAGGTGGTCCAGTCCCTCATCATTAGTTGGAGGTCGATACACATCAATAAAAGCAACAACAAATTTATGAGTACATATATATGTGTGTATTAATATTATGGGAAATAAATTGTGGATTTTTTTGCAAAGACCTTCGCTGCTACTGTCGGTGGAATAGTGGGGGACACTGCTGGGTGCAGGGGACTCGGTCGCTCTCTCTGTCTCACTTACTCTTACAAGTTAAGTNGCCGTGTGTGCACGTGTGCAGCAGCCACACTTACAAACACTCACATTATCTCTGGTTCTCTCTCTCCTTCGCTGCTACTGTCGGTGGAATAGTGGGGGACACTGCTGGGTGCAGGGGACTCGGTCGCTCTCTCTGTCTCACTTACTCTTACAAGTTAAGTACAAAATCTTCTTTACAATTTTTTTTCTCGAAATTTTGTGCTTGTCTAAGTGATTCAAAATTTATATTTTTACTATAGCTCTTACCGTTACTGAGATATGAGCGAAATAAAATTTCAAATGCGATTTTAACATTGATTCACCACTCGAAAAACTTTTTATTTACTTTTATCGTAATCATCAGG